CACCATACTGGCTTCACACAAAATTTGTAAACAAAGTCTGCACACTAACATCAACAAGTTAATTCGTACTAACATATGCTAACAGTCACATATCAAATCACTTGTTTTCTAAAATCTGCGTATTTGCATAGATCGCTGTTTCACGAACTTAAGTTTATACTAACAAGATGCCGCCGGCATCCCTAAATTGTAGAAAATTTTATATAGTAGGTACCTATATTTATATGTCCATGGTATAGTCACACTTGCCCCACAATCACACTTCACCGGGTATACCTTCACTTATATCCAGCCAAACCAAATTTAAGTTTTAGAGCGCATTCAACGGCATGAGATGTTTGGTGTTTTAGTTTTGCTTTACTAGACCTGTTTACATTGCACAGTAAATTTAGTAATGTTTGTATTTTGAGAACGATTTCCGAAGTGGAAATTAACGTCAATAAACGTATGTTAACCTTTAATTGTGGCTTATTCCCATTTAAATAGTAATTACTTTAAAATACCACAAGAAAATAGCTTCAGAATAATATCAATCTTTATAACAGAGGATGGATATCACGAAGCTTGGAAGGGATTTTATTCCAGTGATCTTGCCAAGACATTTGAATGATATTTTAAAAATATGACTGTAAATCTCAGTCAGCAAATGTTTTCAGTTCCCATATTAGAAGATGCGGCTTGTTTTACAAAGAGGTCGGCTAGTTGGTTACCAGGGATTTCTACATGAGACAGAATCGAGATCATGGTTATTAATAGTCCAAGTGAGATTACACTATCGAAAGAGTTTTGAATAGCTTCAACCAAAGGATGTGCCGTTGTAAATACTTTTGAGAGAGTAGATAGATGCTAAAGAGTCTGTACATATTGCTACTTTTTTATATTCTGGTGATAGTAAATTTGTATCTTGGAGAATAGAGAGTAATGATGAATAGAGATATGATTAAATCTGTGTTTGAAGTTACATCACATCCAACAGCTATAGGACTCTTAGAAGCATCTGTGTATACAATTTGGTCAAATCTGTTGTTAGCAATTAACTCTTTAAAGGTTTGCCTTAGAAATTGTGGACTTGTCTGCTGCTTATCATAATTAGTTAACGAGAGATTAAAATCTGCTTTCAATTTATTCCAGGGAGGTTTAGGTGATAGTAATATTGGAGTTGTGACTGAAAGATTGATGTTATTCAGATGTGGTGAAATACTGTGGCATAGATTGAAGTTTAATAGGAGGAGTGTTTAAAAGGTCATTACTTAGTAATTTATAAGATGGGTTTTCAGTATTAGCTGATATTCGAGACGAATATTTTAAAAGGAGTTGCCGGCGACATAGCCAGAGGGGAAGTCCGTTAGCTTCTCTGTATAAACTCTCTGCGGGGCTCGACCTGAAGGCTCCAAGACAGATTCGAAGTGCAGTGTGGTGTACAGAATTAAGAAGTTTTAAATCTGATGGGCTAGCTGACATATAAATGTAACTGGAGTAGTCTATTTTAGAATGAATAAGACATCTATAAATCTGAAGTAAGGAGTCTTCGTCAGCACCCCAATGATGAATTACGTTTTTAATATGTTAAGATTTGTCATGCACTTAGTTTTGAGATCTTTTAAATGGCATTTCAAGTAAATTTACTGTCAAATATGAATCCTAAAATCCATATACTATTTACTGCTGGTAGACAAGCACCATTTATGGTAATTTTAGGATTCACATATTCTTTACTACTGGCTATCCTGCGAGAAAACTTAATGATTTTTGTCTACTCAACAGAAAGGTTAAATCCACTTACTGAAGTCCATTCAAGCAATTGGTCAGTAGCATTCTGAAGCAGTTTACAAGTGACAACAGAAAATGATTAAATCATCTGCGTAGAGTGCAAACTTGACTGGAAGCTCAATTTTTTTACATAAATAGTTTAAAACAAGTATAACGAGTGTAGAACTGAATACCGACCCTTGGGGAACGCCATTAGCTTGTTGTGAAAGTTCTAGAGATTTTGCCATTTTCTCTTGTGTTAAAGGTTCTATTTGTTAGAATTTATCTATTTTTATATTTATATATTAATATAATATATTTCCAAATATACCATACTTCTCGAGGTTAGCTATAATAAAAGGCCTATACAGAGTATCAAGTGCTTTTTGATATCAAATGAAACAGCTAGTCTTGTTTGTACTGGAAGGCGTTGATGATTGATGTTTGAAGGACTGCTAGATTGTCTGCTGTACTTCGATGTGATAAAAAACCTGATTGTGCCAAATTTATTATTTTATATTTTTCTAGGTACCACAGGAGTCTTTTGATTGATCATTTTCTCCATAAGTTTGCACATTGTACATGTGAGAGAAATTGATCTGTAGGAATTTGGCTCAGTTGAAGGTTTGCTTTGTTTTTTAACAGGAATAATTATGGATTTTTGCTACAAATTTGGAAATATTTTTTTGATTCATATTAAATTGTAAATTTCAAGCAGTTTAGCTAGACTAGGCCTAGAAAGATTTTTAATAAAGATAAAGGGAATGTTCTGGACCTGCAGCTGAATTTTTGCAACAGCGCAATGTGTCTGATAATTCTTGTAATGTAAACAGAGAGAAATTTAATCGGATTTTCTGTATTCAGATAAATTGGAGTTTAGATTAGTAGACATGGAAAGCTGCCAATTTGAAGTAAGTTTATTTGTTGCTTTCTTATGAAAATTGTAACCCAATATGTTAACAATTTGTTGACTATAAGTGACTATGCTGTTTGGAGTAAGTATAGCAGAAATTTTTGAATAAATTTTTTTTCCTTACATGTGTTTAATTTGTTTTTAAATTTTGCTATGAGTTTCAGTGTTTATAGATGAGATGTGTTTTTTTTCCAAAAGTCTTGCTTTGTTTAATTACATACATTTGGCTCTCAGTTGTTCTAAGTTGATTAGATTTGCTTTAGTATTTTCTCTGCAGTATTTGTTTAATGCTGCCTTACTTTGTTTTATAGAGCATCTTTCATTCCACCAAGGTGTTGCTTTGGTAATAATATTAAAGAAAACAAGTCTAATGCACATTGTATACATTGTTATGCCCACCATCTAAACCTCATTATGAAAAAAGTTCCTTACTAAAGTACTTATCTTTTGACAATTTGTTGGCATACTGATCTTTTTTTTTAATGCTGCTGGTTGATGTATTTTAGAAGAAATTATAAATAAGATATAAGAGAGGAAGTTGCTACTAGAGGAAACTAATACAATTCATACAGTTAACTTTGTCTTCCAACATCTTGAGAAACTTATAGAAGTGTTTAAAGAAATTGAAGAGAAATGTGATCAGAGAATGAAGTTTTAAGTTTAAGAAGACCTGTTTAATAAATAGGCATATTAGAACTATTTCCTAAATTTCCCATCGGATGTTTTAAATGCCAATTTTTTTTTTGTACATTGTGTAAAGCCACACTTGAAAATATAATTTATTAGAAGTTATACACTAAAGGTGCATTTTAAAAGAAGAAAATAAATGAAGTTATAAATATACCATATTTTCTTTTAAAGAGCAAAATATTTGTGAAAGTTGTAAAAAATATGTTGTCACAATAAGTTTGACAAAAATTATTATGAGAATACCTCAATGACTACAGCAGATTTAGAACATTGGTTTTAGAATTGTAAACGAGTAAAAATCTTTTTACACAGTATTTTAGGCAATATATTACATGTCAATATATAGAAATTTGACCCATGATGAGATAAATTATTTTAATGAAAAGGTTATGACATTTACTTTTGTTTTCAAACAATTATTGGTTTTATTTTACATAAACATAAGTACAATGATCAAATAGTTTTCTCTTCTACAAGTAAATCATACTAGAATTGCTTAGGGATTGTTATTTGAATAGCATCAAATTTTATCCTTCCAAAACTTAATATATGATTATTTGTATCAATTCCTGAATTGTTATTCTTCTAGTCAAAGTTATGTTAATTTTAGTTCTAATGTAATACTAGCCTCCTACATAATTTCCTCTTACATATTAATTTACAGTTTATTTTTATTCATATACGCTTCTCAATGTTTCTGTTAAATTTTATATTTTGTGTGGGTTCTGAATGCATAATATTAATCAAAATAGCATTAAATACACACAAAAAATAGCAATAGCACAAAATAGCAAATAGCATTAAATTATTCATTAAAAATACCAAATGTCTGTATCTCAAAATTGCATGTAGCAAACTTTTGCCATGCCATTTATCAGGCACACATTTATTTCTTAATTTTTATATAGCTGAGCTGTTTAATATATTTTTTATCTGTAGCAAAAAAATAAAATACTAATATATATATTTAAAACATACCCAACTACTTTTAGATGAAAAACTTTTCAAAAAATCATCAATCATTTCTGTCATCTTAAAAAATAGCACCTAATTGGTGATTTCTGGCAACAACCCAAGTTATTTTCATTAACATTGTCCACAAAAACAAAATCAAACATAACCTATAAATAAAACTACAAATTAATCCCCCTGTCCCTGAACTTTAATAAAATAAAAACACATCACACATTTTAATGCAACATTTGAAACTATTATTATTAAACTGCCAAAATATTCAGAATTTTAATTTTTGGTTGTAAAGAGAACAATGGGTTTACATATAAGATACCTATAATGAAATGTATATTAGCTTAGTTAATTAGTTTTCTAAAATATGCAATTTCAAACAACGAAATTGTTTATTAATTAACGTTTTAATCTATTTTATCTATACAATTGTTAGCTTACCATCACTTCACATAAACCAAACAAGTTATGAATTAAACAACCAAAACCAAACACACACAGCAAAAAAAAAACAAGAAACTACCACCTGCCAATGTGAAGGGGTTATTGAATCAACATCTTCTATTACAACTGAAGGAACTGATCTACCAAGAGAAAGTGACTCCATATGAAATGTACTTTTGTTCTTTTTAATTATGGAATTATATTTAATATTAAATTAAGAACAAAAAGTATTACTCACTGCCCCCACAAAAAAATGTGCATGTGCAGGTCTAGTTGCTTTCCGCAACCCTTGATATCCATGTTCCAATTCTGTATAAGACATGATTTGACCAAAACATACCTAGTTTCTTAAACTAAAAAATAGGAAATATTAAAATGTTAAATAAATATTGCGACTAAAATTTCTTACCTAAAATATGTTAAAAATTTATAAATTTGATTCTTTTTAAAAAGTTTGTTTTTTATTTAAACGTAAATAAATTCGAGTTTATATTCCAGCTTTTTGTTTGTTATGATGTGATCAATAAAATTATATAATTTGACACAAAATCACAAAGCTTAAAATTGTCAATCAAAATTAAATGTCAAAATATATTTTATTGAACTGCTTTTAAGTTAACCTGGCAACATCACATATGACAACAGAGTTTAGAATGTGAAAACACGTGAAAGGCTGTAGGGGCTGTAGGGCTTTAAAGGCGATGTACCTATGTAAAGATAGGCATCGAGCAAAAAGATAATCTTATCTTTTTGCTCGATGAAAGTTAGTGTTTCAATAACATTCCAAGCTAAGTAGGAAAAGGCAACGTTGCATCAGCTGATTAAAAAGTGGACCAGACCCAAGGTTACTAAAAGACAGGTTGCATGGTAACTCTGACATTGACAGAATTAAATATGGCACCGTGACGTCATCAGGGGTCAATTTTACGATTTGTTTGAGAACAGAATAGGATACGTGGTTTGGAGAATATATTTCGTTGTTAGATACCGTTACTGTTTTAGTTTATGTTGTATATAAATTGAACCCAAAACTCCTATACATTTAAATTACATTTAATGTGGTTGGTTGTGTTAAATACCTATTTACTGAATTTTATTTCTGTTTTATTATATAGTATAGGTAACATTGTGATTAATGCAGGAAAATGTTGAACATAAATTATTTCAAATTTTTTTTATTGATTCAGATGACTGGTGGAAATATTTCGGTGTAGCAACCAGCAAAAATAATTCAAAAAAGTCCAAAGAGGATGGAAGGAATTCAAAAGCATTGGATCAGCTAGTGTCTTTGGAAGGATAAGTGGTACTGAATTAATAAAAGAATTTTTAGTGTACACTTTCGTATGGGATATTGTGAGGATGCTTTAAAATCTAAACTATTAAACATACAACTGAAAAGCTGAAAACAAGATGGTAAGTAGGTAAAGCAGTGGCGGCTCGTGACATCTGCTATAGGGTGTGCTGCATGAACCACGGTCAATATAAAATAATAGAAATAGAATAACATACGAAAACAAAAAAATAAAATTAGCTTTAATACTAATTAATAGTAACTAATAACGACATGCTAAAAAATCTGATTAACTTACATTTATTGCATTTTTTCTAAATTGGAAATTAATACGCCGGTCCTTTTTGTCGCAAACTTTTCGATTACTTTATCGTTAAAGTTCGGTATTGAAGCGATGAACTTTTTTTCTATCGAGAGTGTGGAAAGGGCTGTTAATCTGTCTTCGCACATTGAATTTCTTAAAAATGTTTTGATCCGTTTTAAAGTTGAAAAACTACGTTCAGCTTCTGCTGTGGTCATTGGCGTAGTCACCAGAATTTGTATCAACTTTTTGGTTTCTGTTAATGTGTCCTCTAAATTATTAGAAATTATAAATTTTAGTAAAGGCACTGCACCTTTTAGATTCAATTGATGGGCGTAACAGTGCACAAAATGAGCAGTTTCATATTTTCTTTAATTATTGTTTGCACTCCGCCATGTATCACTCATAACAGCTGCTCCGTCATAACTTTGTGCAATGAGCTTTTTTGTTATTCTTTAATATTGGGTCTAAAACATTCAAAATTGTGTTAGCTAAGGTTTCAGCATCATGTTTTTCTGGAAGCAAAAAGTCCAAAACCTTTCAACTGGAGCACCGTTTTTTACATAACGAAAAACAATGACCATTTGAAATTTCATAGAAACATCCGTTGTCTCATCAGCTATCACTGCTAAAAATGGGGCTTCATTGATTTCGTTTAAATCTCCTCAGCGTATACTTCTAGCATGCAATCCAAAATATCATTTTGTATTGTTTTTGAGGTACCTTTGAAAATTGTCGCATTTGTAAGGTGTTCACTAAGTGCTTTATCAAGTTCAGCAGAAAAATTCACTAAACCACGAAAAATTCCAGGGTTATCTGATGTTTCAGATTCATCGTGTCCTCGTAAGGCGAGCTCAAAAGCCCCACAGAATTTTATACAGTCATTTATTATTATTTATTAATTATTAATAAAAACCAGAGAATTACGAACACACATTAAATTTATTGTCTCCGAAGGCTCAGGTCAAAAAATCAACACAGATGTTGGCCTACTGGTGTGAAAGCGCTCGCAGACAACAATACGAATATAGTATTTTTAGGAATAAAAATATATAGAGGGTTTTATACACGAGAATATTTGATTTAAACGAAACAAAGAAATTCCTAAAATGCTCAAACTAAAAATTTGGAGACATAATTAGATCGAAAATTGGGAAAATCTTAAAATTATAACAGAACAAGACTTTCAAAATAAAAAACATGATTGCAAATAAACAAACTTACATTAACATAAACTTCAAATATTTGCTGTCTTTTTCACCAAACAAACTTACATTAAATTATGAAAAAAACTAAATGCTCATCTACTTTTTGCTATATACAAAAGTTGTCTGTCAATGTTTAATTCGTTACATATAAATAACAAAGATCAAATATATGGATCGGAGTACACAACATATTTAGGGAATAAATATTTAAATGGGAATTACAAATAAAAAATATTAAAACTTTATTTATTGTATATCTCAATATTTAGTGACAATTTTGTGACTTAATCAGGAGAAAACTGTAAATTTATTAAGATGAGATATTGACAAAAGTTAAATACTTCATTATTTACAATACACTTCGAATATACTAATACTCTTATAGTTGTAAGTAATGAAGTTATTATTTATAAATACAAATATATTTCATGTGCAATATTTCATATTTATTGAAAGTCAACATAAATGCTAAATTTTATTTAAGAATTTATATTTGTAATATGCCCACTGACTATTAAAAAATAAGGTGCTTTCCTGTCATTTTCACTCGTTGGCGGCTTGCCCACGCAAGATGAAAGGAGTGTCGCTTCTCTGCGTTCGTAGTTCTCTGGCACAGATGCAACGGTCACGAATAACTGTCGTGAATTGCAGCTCGCAAACACATTTCCGAGGTCGTTAATCAGCCGATTGCCGAAGCACATCGGCTAAGATCGCCGTTTGCCTAATAAATGCATTTTACCGCTGCCAGTGTTTCGGTTGATATCGACGCGGCTTCACTGGAGCAGCAAATACGTAAAAAGATTGCTTCACTGGAGCACCAAATACGTAAAAAAATTATACGGTTTCACTAGAGGAGTAAATACGTAAAAAAAATAATATTAATCATCGTTGTTGGTGAATTATTATTAACAGTTTATGTTTAATATGATAATATGGCAGATTTGAAATAAAACTATATTAATTATTCTTTAATAATTAAGATTTGCTATGGTTGTTTGGTAGTTCTGCAGCTCAGCAGCACATAAAGAAAAGCCGCCACTGAGGTAAAGTCATTTAAATTTTCAGTAAAAATGTGTTAATTCATTGACATTGAATTATTTTTGTAATTGAGTTTTGCAAAATAAAGTAAACAACAAACAAATATCATTAATAATAAGTTCACTTAGTTGTAATTAAATATCGTTACAATATCGTTACATATATATACCAAAGTTACTATGTTCTAGAACATTCCCACCTCTAAATCGCCTACGTGACTGATTTTTCTGGAAACTTCAACTCGCTTTCGAGATGCAGCGGCTACACAGGACACGCTGAATACATGTTCGTAACAATACTAAAGAGGGACAGATGTATAAATAAATACTCCTACCTAACATATTGATTTACCAGAAATACGTTCATATAATAAAGAACCAAAATTAAATAAACCAAAAAGAGGATTAAGGAACATGAAAAAAGAAAAAGTGAAACTTCAACAAAAACTTCTATAGAAAAGAAGATACTGAAAACAATCTTAAATCACGAATTAGAGAACTTGAGACAGCTAAACTGGAAAGCGAAACTAAGTTTGAGGAAAAGGCAAAACACATTTTTTAAATCTAGTAATGTAATCATATTATGTTCTTAAATACGTTGAACTTAAGGAAAAAATTACTAATTCTGATATATAAATATTTAGTTGAATCTCTGTTTCAGCATGACTTACTTGTTGGAGAAATTTACAATAATGCACTACATGCATTATCCCCAATTTAAAATTGTGTACTCAAAATAATTTAAAAAAGTATTGTATTCGACCCCATTATTAATATAGTATATTTGCATACTTTGGTCCCATAATATATACACAAGAAAGAATCTACTTATAATTTTATTAAGTAGCAGAGCTATTCTACTAATATATTTAGTTGCAATTATATTCTACAATTTCTGTAAATTTGCAGGTATCTCCCACAATTTTCAAAGATTGAATGAAATAAATAGTCATTAAAAGTCCAAAGGATTTTTTTAATATATATATATATATAGATTCTTCTTCTTCACGTGCATCTCCGCTACGAAGTTTGGCTATCATCATAGCAATTTTGACCCTGGAGGCTGCCGCTCGGAACAATTGTAGGGAAGTGCAAGCAAACCACTCCCTGAGGTTTCTCAACCATGACATTCTTCTCCTACCTATGCTGCAATATTTCCTTGCATATATAGATTAATATATTATTGCTGCTTTCCGGTTCATTTCAACCAATAAGGCGAATGAATTTAATTGT